GGGAGTTTATCTGTATTTAGTATTTTTTTGTTTTAACCTAGAAATATGTGTTTCTTTACTCTCTAAAGAGTCGGGTTATTTGTTGCTTATTTTGGTCTTGGAGACCCTGGCTTTAACTTCTTTCCTTTTTTCTTTTCTTGCCTATTTATGTTAAATAATGTAGTATAATTATAAATACTCCACCGTAAATTTGTAAAATAAATTCCTTTGACACATGTTTAGGTTTGTTCGGAGGCTCAGTCTATAGTTAGTACTGCCTATACTTTATGTTACACTCACTGTGTCTCCTAGGCTTTTTACATGCAAGGGGCTTGTAAGATAAGTGGGGGCTCGTCCAGGATATTCCCTGAATCATAGCTCTGTTTAATTTTGAGACCTCCTTTTACTTAACTGCTTATCCACTTCAGGATAAGCAGTTCAGGATCACAAATCTTAGCATCTTCGTGCTTGCCATACTCTCTACCTTACTTCCTTCTACCTAGGCTCTTGCACACACAGTATGCAAGAGCCTACGTAGAGCCTACCAGAGATACCAAGCCTACCAAGAGCCTACCAGCAGGTTCTCTCACTAGTTCCAAATATGCCATCCCCCTCTCCTCCTCCTGTGTCTTTGACCAACTGGCACCCTGTTGGTGCCAGCAGTTGTTGTTGCTAACTTGGGCCCTGATCGATCAGATAATCCCATTCTTCATAATCCAGATGTTTAATTTGGTAAAGATTTTATGCCGATGCTCTTCTTGGTGCAGTGCTCCCCATTTATCAGACTTGAGACCAGCACTAGGAGTACGCTGGCTTATACCCCAGTTTTAAATTGCATCTTTAGGCACTTTGTTACTGGCTGTCTGTTGGAAAAACACAGCATTTGTTCCAATTTCTTTGATTGAATCTATGAAAATGTTAAAGATAACAAAGTTTGACAGACAGAAAGTTGTGTTTTTGCATCAACAGGGAAATTCCCAAAGTTCAATAATATCCAGTGAAAAATGTTAGAAAAACAATAAAATAAAGTTTATTTCATTTAAAGAAGAAAATATCTGAAGAAAATCTGCAGACGAATCCATAAAAATTCAAAAAAATGTCTCAAGATGATACAGTACCAGGTTTGGGCAGACCTGCTTATTTCAAACTCGTGTAGAACAAAGATGAAGACTTTTAAATTACAAAATATATATAGTATAACACATGGATGTAGCCTGCAGCAAGTGTAAACGAAGCATTTTAGATTCCTGAATTTTAACAGGTTTCAGCTACTGGAAGAGCCGTGTTCAAATCATTCAAGGTATGATCTCATGAACCTGAGCAACACACCAACAATAGTGTCCCGGTCTGTCATCGGTATCTGTGTGACTAAATAGTTTTGATTTCTTAGCTTCTACAATGAAACCAGTGAATAAGTAGGTGTGGACCTGGCTATATACAGACACAATAACCATCACACAGCATTACACATTACTCTGTTTCTAAGAACATCAGCATTTCATTTAAACACAGCAGATTTAAAGTTTCCACACAAAACAAGTCCTGCACATTGTCACTTTACTAGCAGAAGCACAGGAGTGATTTCTAAAGTGTTTAACCCTCTCA